CTGGTTTCATGGCTTACTTTATGATCCGGATTAATGGTGTTTTACTTTTCTTAGCGGTTAGCTAAGCGATGCCATTGAAGAGACAGGGGAACAAACTCCGACTATGATGGATAGCGATGGAGCAAAGAATGCCTGGAGAGTCTTTTCGTATCTAAAAAGCAAACAGGTCATATGAGCAGCTGCGAATTACCACTGTTATCAAGCTAGAAAGTAAAGTGCGACGGACAGAAACGTTATCGCCTTGCTGACAGCTGGTGGACTTGTAGATTCTCGCAAGAAAGAAAATATTCATATGGGCAGTCTGGGAATGGGTGACATGGCATATCAACTGTACCAACAATCTTGATGACCTCAATGATATCTCACATAAATTTGCCGCTATTGACAGGCTTGATTTAACTGGCACGTAAGGCAACTTCATGCTCGAACGATAGTTCGGTTCCAGCAGTAGAAAAAATTTGTTCGTCTGATTCGTTAATTCGTTTCGATGGTAAATCGGTACTGGCAAGCATAGCAGGGAAGCCAGTACCGCAACAGCTTGTTTCTAAGTAACTCTCGAGGCAGACGGCCATCGACATCCTTGCCAACGGTAGTGATACTTTTTGAAATGTCTTTACCTTTTATTAAGATTGAAGAGTTTTTAGTTTTGTGTTTACTAGCCCTTTGTGAAAATGCAAGCAAGAAAATGCGAATTTTGTAACAAGCGGCAGAAAGAACTCAAAAAAGTAAAAAGGCTATATGTAATGTAAATTAAGACATACAGGAGCACTAAGCTGTCTGTATCTCATCCATGTTAATTAGTGAAACTGCTGTGATTAATCAATGGGCCTTAGAATTGACACGGGAAAGAGGGACTTAGAACGGAAATGAATGAGTGCAAAAAAGAGAGCGAGTGGAAGATTTTGTGAAAGTTTGTTGAAAATGTAGAGTGGAAAACAGGAATTGCCGCACCAGTTTATGTGTAATAATGAGTCCTCCGGCGGGTGAAGGCTGAATAAACAACTTGCTGTTATCAATCAGAACAGGAACTTCGGGATTCCTGGATGTGCGTCACTCCCAGCTGTTTTCTCAGGTGCTACACCACCTCTCTTCTCCATTTTTCCTGTTAGTCGTTGTTATCGTATCCACGTACTGCATCCATAATTGTCATGCGTAATAAGAACTGTCAAAAATCCCCCCATTCCGTCCTCCCCCACATTTTGAAAGGTCGAAAGTAACACACTGCTAGTCGCACAATTTATTACAAGACGGTCAGTGGCTGGATTTCCGGACTAACTTAATTTTTCTCCACTTTCTCTTTTAGCATCTTCCTGTCTTCCTATTCCTTCTTCTCTCTTGGAAGCACTGCAACCTCATACTGACGAGGTGCGGTTGCAGTCTTAAGACGTATATGACTTAATGGACCGAAATTCTTACCTCTCCTCTTCTGTTTTACCTTAATTGCCCTTCTTCCCCGTCTAATTTCTAATATTTCAATGCATCCAATCTTACTGCTGCTTTAACTTCTGGAAATACGTCTATACCAGATTTACCCTCGATGAATGATCTTTCTCCTGCCAGGACCAGAAGCTCGATTGGAAGCTATGGGTAGCGTTAGTCAAATTAGTTTAGAGTCTGCACACGCAGTAATTATGGACGATGAAAAATGATAAGCAGAACTATAAATATCGTGTACGATCGTGTTTGTAGGGTGCACGTTCGAGATCAAAGATATTGCTGATAAATAGTGCACGCATTACAATGGAACAGTTACGAGAGAAATTGGAACGAAATGCTGCCGGAAAAGACTGAGCTCATTTGTATTACTCGTTTTATTCAGTTGATTTTAAATTATTTGTATACGGAGAATACCAAGACCGTTTGGACAACCAGTATGAGTATCCCGTGTTAGTGATGTTACTGGAATGCTCCCACATCCCAGGCGCAGCTGTGCCGAATCAATTATACATGCTTTGAAAACTGGGATATCTTTAAAAAACCACTTCAAATACTAGAAGGACCACTAGTTGGATGTGTTTAGTATGCGCTAGAATCCAGAATAGTTCGTCAGAAGTTCTTGTAACTTTCCGACTGTTCATGGCCAGGCGTATTCTGCTGAAGTTTGTAAATTTTTTTTCAAGAATTTATTTGCATTAGTAACATTCCTTTGTATCCAGTCCTCGTGGACAGCAGAGCATATCCAGGTCAGACAGGAGCATAAGCGCATCCAGCGGGATGGGGATAAGCGAAATCCTTTCCTACCCAGCAGCATAGGTACTAGTGGTGCAAAAGCCCGGAACTGTTCATTGGTGCACGGATCTTTTCATTGGTGTGGCATTGCTATGGCTGTTCAAATCCGCTTATAGGAAAACAAGAAGTACCACTAACAATTTTAGAAGTAATTCAGACTATTGGAGAAAAGGCTTCAAATTATCAGAGGAGCACTTCCCCACCCCGTCGTCCCTC